CATATATACATTCCTTTAGTTAATAGTAACATTATTATATCAGGATTGAAAATTACTTTATATATTTTTTAGGTTATCTTGTACATATTTATTATAGAAATTAAGTATAAGAAGTATGGATGAATTCGAATTATCCAAGCAGAACAAATCATTATGATATAATGATGTCAATATAACAAAAATGATCATTAAAGATTATTTTTCAATCATTTTTAATTCATTTTAATATCATTTTGATGTTATGACTTGTTCTGCTTGGATATTTTTTATGTTATCTTATTATAGGTGTTTGTTATAGAAATCGAATACAAAAAGTAATACAAAATTGATGCAAATAATAAAATATAATATAAAAAAATAAAATACCTGGATTTATACTCAATTTCTTCAATAAAAAGCAATTTATAAATAACTTGTAAAATAACTTCCCTGATAAGTAACTTCCTAATAAGCAAAAAACATTTAGAAATATTCCAACAATTGTATTGTATATTGTAACGTTATATATGTAACGTTATATTGCTGCGATGTTGCTAGAATATTTTAATATGTTTGTTGCTTACTAGATTATATAGTAACTTTCTCAATCCTACATTACGTCAATTTATTTTTAATTTCCACTCAACAATATAAATTAATATAACACACGTTATATATATAACAGATATAATATTATAATTATAAGTAGAATATTATAATTATAAGTATAATTATAAGTAGAAAATTATAATATTAATGTTATATTTTGCATTTACTGGATTATAATGTTCTATAAATTCTACTGCTAAGAATGGATTTCATGATTGAAAAAGCAGCATGAAATGTATACAGGTTTTATTGAATTTACCAATTATAATATTAAAATGATTATAACTATTAAAAATCTTCCTTTTGACATCACAAATTTTTTTAAACGATTGGGCTTCAAATATGTTTGCAGCATAAATCTTGACGTTGCAACTTTTATCTGATTACTCTCTAGAACCTCAATAAAATCTTCATTTCTAGAATAAACTTTTTCCGTTTAAATTTTATAGGAAAGATCTTGTTCTTAATTGCACCAAAATATTGAACACAAAAGATAGAAAAGATAGAAAAGATAGAATACAAAATTACAATGAGATCTTAAGATAACATAGATCAAATTGAAATCATTTTAGAAAAAATCATAATGATGTCATCAAATCAATTTCTTAAATAGAATATGAAATAATAAAATCAAGATTACAAGTTATTTTATGAAAAATTATAAACGATGATCGTCTTCTTGACCATGATTTTGTGATACTTTCTTGCCATAAAATAATTTTTTAATTGAATAAAAAAATCACTTGTCTCACACATACAAAAATATCAAAAATTCATTCACAAAGTTGTCATCAAAAGTATATCGAATAACATCGTTATAATTTTTCATAAAATAAATTTTATTTGATCTATTATAATTTTGATCTCATTATTTTTATGTTTTAGTTGGAAAATTTATTTGATGAAATCAACGTCGAAATATATATATATATA